GCCGATTCTCAGCCATGTCACAGAGGATCCTCAACCATTGATTCCTTCCATCCCAAGGAACTCAGCCAAGTAGTCCACACCATTATATATGGCTAAGCTAAGACCAAGAGTCATAAACTTCATGAAATGGTACCATGTCCTGGTGTCGCTACTCTGAGCCTTATTCCAATCTAGTCCAACGTCACTTAGCATTGCACTTTGAGGCAGACGGTGGCTGAAAATACACAGCACATGTCTAGGCCACCCCAGTCACTGAAGGTTCATAACCTGATCGACTAACTTTTATTTACTGCATAGTTACTCTTCGCCCAACCTCAACATTGCGCACACGGTGATCACACCATATGTCAGAAGTGCAACGAGACAACTGGGGTCAAAAACCTCCAACCTCTTCATGTCTACTTCTAACTATCATGTCTCGCGATAGCATCCGAGTTGAGATTTCATCAGAAATCGACACGTTCAAGCTGACCCAGCACCTTAAGTGAAGTGGTCGACGCATCCAACAACTTCACTCCCTATAATTAAACTAGGAGTCGTTGCTGACCGCTCTTAAAACATATTTGATAGGTGCAAAACGCATAGCAGCCGAACACTCAGATTTCTGCTCAATGCGTTCAGAAATCCTGCATTTTATCAGTGTCTTCACCTAGAAGGACAATATCTTCCGCATACACCAAGGATACTGGATGACCTCTAAGGAGTAGGTCAAACCCTGTGAAGTCAGACGTACCTAGGGTCATGTTCATTAGTACGTCTATGACGAAATCAAACAGAAACAGAGGTAGTGAGCAACCCTAGGGGATACCACCAGTTGTCATTTCTGATGACAAATCACCGTAAGCTCTTACACGGCTCGGTGAGTTCGAGTAGAGCTCCAATAAGCCAGCCTTCTGTAAGCATTATATATATATATATATATATATATATATATATATATATATATATATATATATATATATATATATATATATATATATCCTTACACGGTACCCAAGTGGATAGAAAAAGCTATATCAAAGTAGACAAAGTTGTGTGGGAGGATAAACAATCTGAAGACAAAGATCAGTTAAAATACTCTAGCTTTGTAAGAAACCAAAAAGTGAATACACCTGCCCCATTGTGACCGATTTTCATCCATGTCACCAATAGGCCTCAGCTACCGATTACTTTCCTCTCGGGGACCCAACCCGGGCAGTTTACATCCCCAACACGGCTCAGAACAGTGAGGAACTTAGTCGATTGATGCCACGTATTGGTCTGGCCATCCTGAACCCTCTCCTAACTTAATCCAGCTCCACCTGGCATGGCACATCGAAGCAGATGGTGGCTCGGCATGCGCAGTACATGTCCAAGCCATCTCAGTCGACTAAGGTTCATAACCTTGTCAATCGACTTGCCTGTCTTTCCCAGTACCCTTCACCTGACTTCAACATTGCTCACACGGTGATAAAGTTACATTATGGACCTTTATCGCTTGAGGTGGATTGGATACGTATTATGGATGCTAACTCAATCCTTACTTCAAAGAGCAATACTTAACACAGAAATATATCCGTTTGATCATAGGAAAAGGAACGTTCTGCCCACTGTAAGATATATTCACGCACGTATAGCTTAGTGAATGACTTCGACGGAAAAAAATTTTTTTATTCGCTGCAACCGCGTCTTCTTTTCCTATGAGCAATGTTAGTTGAAGTAGGCTTACATTGGAAAGAAGCCAGCGAAGAAACTTGATTGCTAAATTATCTCTTGTTAATTATTGGTGTATATTTTTTGTGCACGGTGCATTTCTTGACGCCCATGAAGTTATCTGAAATAAATAAATGACAAATACATCGCACATGTAGGTGTCTTACTGCGACCGACCTCACAGTAACCCACAATCACAACTCCCAAACAGTCTTGTAATTTTGAACATCTTATCTCATAAGTTTGAAATCTGTCATACAATATTTTGGGAACTACCCAACCTGTGAAGAATGTCTACATTTACATTCATCATCAGTTTTCCTGGATTTACGGATCATAAAATAGATAATTCTTTTAGCCAACGAGTTTCAGGGTTGTCTTATTCCATACATCGGGGGTTTAGAAATCGGGTGGTACTACTGACCCTAAAAATTAGTGTAGCTCATAAATTAGTGCACAGACGTATGCACAGCTGATCCGCAGTACAAAAAACTAACAACGGACCAGTAGAGTGAAACTTTAAATTACGACTTTACTTCATGGCACCAATAAACACTGATCATGCATTAGTTTAGAACTGTGTATCATTAAAAACGGTTATATGTTATATGCTCAGTCTCAAAATAAGTATATCAAGATAACTCAAAGAACTATTTCGACAATTGTTTGGGTGGAGACATCAATCCTGACGGCTTAACTTCAGTGGTAGACCTACTTTCCTTATCGAGAATCCGGCATCGGTTGAGGTGTTTGACGCGTGCTATGAATGCCCAGTTATCACTTACTTTGATGTAATATGTTTATCAGTATAGTAATGGATTGACAAACTCCGGCCATTGCCAGGCCACAGAGCAATACTGATATTTAGTCTATGCAATATCGCTGTTAGCTTTTTTATGATTGGCTTTTCGCTGCATTAAGGACGTTATGGAGCATTTCTTGGGACCAATGTGGCACTAAGTTTGGATTAAAATCTGTAAAATAAAAAGACGGATGTGGAGTCACAAGTGACCCGAAAACTACTTACGCTTACCACTTAATCTGTTAGCTTCGCAGCCTCACCAACTACTTTACTTGCGCAGAAACAATCAACTACTTTTGCCACTGTGCACTCGGTAGTGCCAACACATGGAGAGCTGTTTAGGTAAGTGACTGTTTCACCCAACTATGCACATAAATCTGTCATCCAGCTTCATGAATATGCAAGCATGCACTTAGCAACTATGCCCACCTTTGGACACTAGGCAGTGAGCCATGAGTAGTTGTAAACCTACCTGACCGACATTAACTCTGTAGGCGGAGCAGTGTCCAAACCTGCAGTCTACTGGTTAAAAGCCGAGTGCCTCAACTAATGGGCCATAGCTCCGTCTTACGCAACTAGCCAACCGCATAACTACAGATGACAAAGTTTTGCACTACAAAGCCCCAACAACATGTTGCTTCACAAAATAGCTGGTAACCACCAACTAAATTAGTCGTTTAGGAAATTAGATTCATTTATGTACGGGTTTTACTATATCTGGCGGGATTATACCACTCGTCAAATTTATGCTACAAGGCTTCTAGACAAGCTAAACTCTTAGCTATTGACAGTTTTGTGGTGTGCAAGGAGAAATACGCAGGTAGTTCAGTTCGAAGCACAAGTGAAACCCATAACGTCAGGCCAAATAAGCATATTTCGAATCTTCGTTTTCGAAAATACAGAGAACTTCCAATTTCTAAACCTGTGCCCTAGGAGCATGAGGCCTTGAAGTTCAGAGGTGAGATCATTTAACAGTTTCGTGCCCCACTGTAGTTTATATTGATTCAAAACGCCATATAGCGACTATAAGGTTAAGTGAATGGTCTGAGCATATTCAAAATCACTATCCAATGGTCTTATGATAATTTTAAGGATTTCCACGATTATCTGAGAACACCAGCATACGTGTTTCCCACAAGTAATATTTGTTGACAATGTGTTGGGTTAGAAAAGTGGCAACCAGGAAATGCCACCAAGGAGGAAAGATCAATAGTAATTTTCCATAATGTTAGTACATGTTAATTCCCTGCGTAACCTACAGTTTTACGCAACCGCGATCTTAGACATGATTTATAGAAATAAAGTTAAATTAAGTACGAAATTAGACGAATAGAACTTCGTCTAGAATCCACGGAGAAAAGTCCAACAAATGCAACTTTTCAGTTTCAAATAGATACTTTAGAGCACAAAGACTAAGTAGAACGGCAATCGCAAGAGCAACTTCAGTCTAAATACCACAAAGAAATGCAACTCAGTAACTGTATGTAGCCTCAAGCATTTTTAGCTATTGCACACTGATACTGCCTCACTGCCCGAACTACTGTACACTGAATAGTATTCCAAAACAAGAACGTTGGGACTATAGAATTCTGCGATCCTTGAATGACTGCCAAAGTTCTAACAAGATAACCAAGAGTTGACTTCGACAACAATCAATTTAGCCTTCACATCCCAAGTGCCCAAACTGGAGGAAATAATTACCCAGATAGTAGTAAGTCCCAACAACCATCAAATCAAACAGCTCCAGTGAGACTACAGGATTTTTCCCTCCATGATCGACTATTAAGTGACTTTCAACGTTGCCCTCCAGTTATGATACAAAAATGAAACGGAATCGCAGTAGGTATGATTTATTAAAGATGTTTGGGATATTACTTACGTTTCGACTGCTGTTCTCTACTTGACGTAAAAGTATGTACGATAGATTTTCATTTGAGGGGCTAAGTGGAAATGATCTACCTGGACTCTGATATCAATGTGAATAAGACTTGAAATGGTTCCTTATTGCCTCTAAATTACTTGGACCCAAGTGGGAGGATTTGAGAATTAGAGTTCAAGAGTATAGGGATAAAACTTGGGCACTGCCATAGATCGTAATCCTACTTTAGTCTGTTTATTAAACGCGTCACAGTGAAATAGTATTATCCACTGGTCAACGTTCAGAACATAATTTATTGTTCGGCGATGTATGTAGGGCTTCATGGGCTCTACGAACCTACTTGGAATTATATAACAGGGTTTAAGGAGTCAAAATAAAGGTTGTGAGTAACCAAGTCGTAGACCGTACTCTAGTGTGAACTTCTTGCCTATCATTTTCCTGCAGGCACCTAGAAAACTTCAAAACTGGCAAGAGAAAAAATGGGAAATCATACCGTTTCTTCGACTAGTATGAGTCTTCCCAACTGACTAATTAATGTAATGATAAAACACAAATAACAATAGTGGGAGCACCCAGCACCTCTTCAAGGTAACGGACGTCCGCAAATATAACAATCACCAAACTTACCAGAGCCGACAAGCCGCCAGTTGTGATGTTTGGATTTAATATTATAATCCTTTGTGATTGATTTGCAACCAATCGACAAACAGGTCACAAGGTTCAGTTTTCACCCAATGATCGACAAGATTAATGCAATCTGAATGTTCATTATAAGGTCGACTACCTGTCTATCCCACTATTTTCATATTCCTTTCATTCAATTGGTTAGTATCAAGATGTTTGTCGACTAGATTTATTACTTAGAGAGAGTATTAGTTATAGCCTGCATACATCACCTTTTCTAATGATCAGTTGCGACAAAGTAATTGCAAAAAAATCCAATTACGAACCTGTGGTTCACTACATAATAGGTAGTCTTATCTCTGTAGTCCCAGAGTAGTGTGTTTGAAAGAACGAAAATAAAATGTTTCATATTAAGCCTCAACGTTCCGATCTTACAAAAACACCCTTTGCAAAGTATGAGTATGACAAAGCTTTCAATAACTGAAAGATCCCCATGGATTATTCAGAACAAGAATAATTTGAGCGAGCAATTGTTTCCAACAACTTCCTCAAGTTCTACGGTTATAAATCCATGAGACTATGTGAAATACAATATCCCAAATAAGGTATGATGTAAAATTACTACAATGTTGAAACAGTCCGTATTACTAGTAAGTGTAGATCCAATCAAATAGAATGGTAACGTGTCTAGTGTGATAGCTGTGCAATGAAATCAATATGAACGGAACGGAGACAAAACCCAGAGATAACGACTTGTAGTGACCAGTTGTTGATAAGTTTTCGTCTAGCCTGTAGATAGGTACGTTGTTGCAGGGGGCGCGCAGAGCAGTGCGAGTTTGGTGGTGGCCTTGAGAAACCGGAAAAGGAAAGAAAGGGAGAGAAGAAAGGTGAGCTGACTACTCAGAAAGTACACAGGGTGTACTTACACTTAGTCATAAAAGATAACCGACAAACGGTAGAGCTGGACAACGAAGAGGTGAGGCAGTCTAGAAATCGAAACTCTAAGGTGAATGAGTAAGGTTTCGAATGCGCTACAGTCTCATCTATATACACGTACTGGACATATAGGTGTGTGTGTGTGTTTGTTTACTTACGTAGTCTTGCCCCTTTTGAGGGATTGCAAGTGACACTATATATCACAGGAAAGGCTTGATCTACTGGTACATGTTCACGAGCTTTGCATGGATAGAGCCTTTTGAGTACGGCCTGTGTAACTTGCTCTAAGGGTTGCAGTCGAACCTGTCCTTCGCTTGCTGTATCAGGAAGGGTTTAGTTGAGAAGCTGAAAAAAATTTCGCTGCGGTGAATTTCATTTCAACTGGTCTACTTAATTGACGTGTTAAGACATCAGAGACGATTTCACTTTCGGAATTTAGTCTAAGATATATAGGTGTCTTAGCAACATTATATTTCTTTATCTTCTCTTTAGGTTTCAACATGTATTTATAACTGTAGGGACTGAAGAACAAGATATTGGAAACAACTGTTCACTTAAATTATTTTTATTCTGAATAAAGCTTTCAGGTTAATATTTGAGTTTAGTACATAACATAACCTTACTGACCATTCGAGAGAAAGTTCCGATTACCATGATATGATTATAGGCATCAAACTATGTTTGAAAGGTCATTCACTGAACAGTTCTCTCCATTAAAATAAACCAACTAATTAGCAAAGAATTATATTCTACTATATTTCCCAAATTTTTCAGTCTGGAGGCCTGTGGGGGTTTATTGATTTCAGTTCAGTATTCATTATTTACTGACATCATTTGAAGAAACATGGAAGGCCTGGGAGCACTGGACAACCGTTTCGTGCTAGTATGGGATTCAATTGGCTTCGCCATATCAGTCTTTAAAGGCTGGTCTTGTGATGCTTTAATTTAATTTGCCTAGTATTTTAGTTCTCAGGATATCTTCCAACAGAAATGCTGGATCAATACATCTTGAAGATACTCAAACCAATTAGTATATGAATTTCTTGTTTGTCTTGGATCACTCAGTACTTGAAGAACAAGAAAAGTGTATCTTATTTCCAAGATCTCCCACCCTTCATTCATTTATTTCTCATTGTTCGGGTACAAGTATCAGATACGTAGAATTGAAAAGACAATAAAAGTAAAGATATTATCTGTAATTTGTATATTTCAGCCAGAAATCTACAAATTCCAATCAGGTTGCTTGTAGAATCGCTTGAAGTACTGTGGAAATCGCGGTTCTCCGCTGGTAGGTGTTTGGATTGTCTGTTGACGTTTATTGGAACTAGGCTGAGTATCACTTGTAAGCTTCCGAACAAACGACCAAATAGTGAAAACTCGGTAGACCAATGTGTTGTTTCAGAAAACCTTTGTCGTAGCATGCACGTATATATTTCTTGCGTTAACCGCGTGGAAAAAATTCGAAATTATCATTGGAAAGTGTACATAACAAATAAACAAACACTTGTTTTAACGAGGAATATACTGAATGTCTTACTGTAGTGGGCGTTGCTGATAACAATGGATATAAGTAGTAAATGTTGAGAGGACGACAGAATTCATAGGCAATTACCAGCAACGAGTAAGGATTCTGAGAAGAGAAATGAGAGACAACGCGGGCGTATGAAGGGCGAATCAACAGAGAAGTAGGAGAGGAAATGAAGAACATTATGCAAATAACTGTCTTAGTGGAAGGTGTACCATATTAAGGACTACTGTACCATATTTAAATAATAAGCACTCCGTCCTTCGTCTCTGTCTTCTTTTTCCCTTCACTACTAGAAAGAAATGTTAGTTTAATTTGTAATTATGTTCTTCACTAAGGATATCAAACTTCTACAAAAGCTAATGTCACTTCTAAACCAACTACAAAATACAAATGAGTAGTTAATTCCATTTATCGATTAAATATTAGAACGCAGTGTAAGTTTAATGGATTCCCAGGCTCTTTATCAATGTTATAAACTGTTGTTCAAAGGTGTTACAGAACTTGCATTAGTAAAGCACATGAATTGTGTTGTCAGTAATATAAATTCCTGTCTGTTGTGATGCCCCAGTTTTGTATCAAACATTGTTATTGATCTGAACATTTTAACGTGTCATGCCCACACCATTTTTTACGTTATGATTTGTAGTCTATTTTCTGCCCCCATTTTAATGTAAATCGCTGATTGCTTAATCTTTACTCTTAACTATGCGAATGTCTCAAATTGAGGACAAGGTCATTTTTCATGTGTGTACATATTCATGTGTTCTGGGCTTGATTATTATGATATTCTCGGAGTAATAAACGCTCCCATCATTCAGCTTCGGTCTTCTCTCTATTCGTCCCGGGATTGCAGTCAGTAAGGCTTTCATACTAAGTTAGCTGTCAGCTAAGCGTGTGTTTCATATTCGTTCGGAATATATAACCGTTGGAGTACGAAAATATAACACTGTCACCTGGTGGAGGCTGGTCTTAGTGTTGAAGAAGAATGTAACAGTAACCCTGTACAGGTTCTTAAAATAGGCATCAAGCTATACCTATTTTTAGAGTCGATGATACTACTTGGCTATTCGAACTTAGTTGTATGAGAATAGTAAGAAAAATGCTGATAATACTATAACTATAGACACAAACGGTGGTTTACAAACTTCATACAATACTTGCCTTTTTCGAATTTGAATGAAGCAAGAAGAAAAATAGTGTAGTAGAATTAGCAGGCGTCACAGATGAGGACATCAAAGGCAGAATCAGAAAAGCAAAACAGACCTTTATCAATCTGAGATCAATGTGAAGATCCACTGCACTGCACTGCACTCCACTCAGCATAAAGCGTGAACAACATCCGGATTTCCAACAATATTGTCAGTCAAGTGAGTCGGTGGTTCTATGTGATGGTTGAGAGACTTGGGACGTTACGAAAGGCATTTCCAACAAACTATAGATACACATCAACAGCCACCTACACTAGATACTGAGGATCAGATGATCAGAAAGAACAGGCAACAGGAAACTGTGGCATGGCAACGAACCAACCAAGAACGTATCTTCCAACGAATATGTAGAAGAAAGTGGAGATGGATTGTACTGGACATACACTGAGAATGAAGACCGTCTGAGGACATCACGCACCAGGCCAGGTCGTCGAATGGAAGCCAAATGGGAAACGACGAGTTGGGCGTCCGAGCCATGAGTGACATGGAGGAGATGGTATGAGGAAAAAATGAAAGCTTGTGTGCAGTCGTGTAGCCAGGTTGAAAAGACTGCAGAGAAGAGAGTGAAGTGGCGACGTGCTACTGAAGCCCTATGTTCCACCAGGAATCCAAGGGACAAATTAAATAATTCCCTGGATTTGTTTCACCTATTTTACAATCTATATAATATAATGCTTACGTTAAAAAGAAGCCTGCTAAGAAACAAACTTTCATAAATCTATAAGAATGTTTTCATTGGGATGGAAAGTAACAAAGATCTAAGTTGACCAAAAGTGGTTAAGTTTGATAATTTGTTAAAACTACTCAAAGGTTGACTATTTATACAGTGACAGGACTGGCAACAGCATCTTCCTGACTACATATTTAAGGTTTGAGTCCTTCAATTGCAGGTGTTTCAACAAATCTCAAAAGGTTGGGTTTCAGTTGTTTATTGATCACTCTGAGCGGTTTTGATACGTTGACTTCAGTATCAATTAAAGACAAGGGGATTGAACTCTGTAAACCCTATGAACCTCTAAGCCTCAAATTCTTCCGCATATGTTCGTAAGTGCCAGCAATAATCCTTCTCTCTGTTCCTGCAATGTGTGTGCTACGATGTGTGCATGTGAATTGGTGAGTCCAGTTGGAGGTAAAAAGAGTTAGGAACTTTTCCAATTTAGATTGCCTTAATGCGCATTTATTCTCCAGTACACAGATTATCTTGGAGGCTGCTGCAACACTCAATCCATGGTTTATCCGTTTGGCGATTTTATCCTCTTTAAAGACAGGGTGTAGACAAAAGAGTTCCTTCTCAACTGTACTGAACTTGACTCTCTTTGTTTCTATCTTACCGTTCTTACCGGTGGACTGTCGTAGGTAACCAGTTTTGCTCATGTAGTGTTCGACAAAGGTCATTTCTTCCTCATTTTTCTTTTCGGAGTACAATAAACGCCTATGGTTGAAAAGTGCTTTTACTCAACATTTTTGCAATTGATTGGACAAAAGTTGTTGAAGCCTACTTCTTGTCTTTCCGATGAATGTATCTATGACTATTTCCATCTGTAATACGTTTTAAGCCAAGGTCCAGGAAATGAAATTTGTTCTAATGTTCATTTTTCACTATGAATGCTATATTATAGTGTGTTTTATTACAAAAAAGATTCAGTAAATGAGAGGCATATTCCTGAATATTGTATACAATAGATACATCGTCAATTTAACTTGCACAGATCGGTTGCACATTTCAGTTTAGTCTGC